TGGTGTGAAAGAATGAAGGCAATCACGAATCTACAAAACCTTTGCGTGAAACGATTAGTTTTTGGAGCGGGTTGGCATGAAAGGACAATCTTTGAACTTTCGTAAAAACGCTGATAAAATAAACAAGTCAGAACAGGTCCTGAGTGAGAGCAACACAGAAGGATTTAACAGAATCAGTTCTTGGGATGCTTTTACCAATAAGTACAAGACCAGAGCAACTGTTTACCAGTCCAGGATAGGAATTGCCGGTATCTAGACCAAAAGGAGCGTCAATGTATTTATTGGTGATAAGTACAGGCGATCAGGGCACAATCCAATCAGAAGGTTTTCTTAGATTGTCCCGGGAAGATTGAAAACTATCTGGTCTATTGGATGAACAATGAATCATTGCATCATCCATTAGCGTAATTTTTAGGCAATGAAGCTAAAGGTAATGGGAAGATTCAGTATGTAAGTATACAAAGTAGAATAGATATTTGAAAACCATCCAAACTACTATTTCTGAAAGACTATTCTGTACCATTGAATGAAATCAAATGGGTCCTACAAGGAAAGCAGTCGAAAAAATCATTCGCCATTTCAGGTTTCAGGCCTAAAACAGAAAGACGTTTGATAAGCACCCCTTCAAGAGAAGTAAGACTAGTGTTACGTGCATCGTAGTTTAAGACCGTTTAGACAGAATGCACAATGGTGGCGACGGCGTAAAGTGTTAACGGGAGGGATTTGTAAGCAAACTCTAGAAAATTATGGGGGTTATGTGAACGTATCACGTCGCGCGGCAAAACATTTCCTAAGGCTTTCAACAACACAGCTGAGCAAATAATCAGAAGGCAACTCGATGATAATTTCCTCTGTATTAGTCTAATCCGGGTTGACGTCCAACAATCGGGGATTGTTTTGTATAACAAGCGCGTGCTGAAAAGTTTGTCAATAGGTGTTGCCAGTTGATCACCCTGTTCGCTCTTAGCAAACAGGTTGCTAATAAATTAGAACCATGAGCTTTGTTGACCGCGAGTCGCCTCAAAGCCAGGAGTATATATATTGTCCTAAGAAACAGAATTAGTATCATGATGGGTTAGAAAAGGAGGTAGCAGGAAGCTTAAGACAGGTACAATAGCGAATTCATGGTTGATTTCCTCAAAGTTAAGACAAGAAGCAATGCGTGAACTACAGAGTTTCCGCAAGGTAAATCACATCTAATGATAGTTTTATTACCCAAAACGGTCTCAACTGACATTCCTTTCGGATGTCTCACTTCAATTTTAATCAGAAAAAAAATGGTTCTTTTACACTGTTGCACCTACCGGTCATGTAAGCCCTCTCTTTAGCCAGAAGGGGTCAATTAAGATGGGGGGGGGGGG